ACTGTTTCCTAGGGTGCCCACCACCGTTTTTATTTGAGGCAACAACACAAGGATAACAGCCAGTTTGTTACTTACTGTACATTCTCCATTCTCAGGTGCGGGGAGCAAGAACAGGTGGGGGTAATATTAGATTACAATAATAGAATTTTCTCTACAGTCATTTTACTGTTATTTTACAGGCCTCTTACTAAAAGTTACTAGTCACAAGAAATGACCGTAGATTAGAGTATGGATCAGGTCGCATAGTTCTGTCTGAACCCGGCCCAAACCCCTTGGGTACCGACAGGTCCTGTCGGGCTCAGTTTGGGTATCCACACTTTATTAGGTCCTCTCCTCTGCCCCCCTACTGGTGGCCAGAGATGTGTTACAGATAAACAGATAAAAGTCACGGCTCAAAAATAACTCAGCCCTGTATGAACAGGCAATTCTATAGTTGTAGTGTGGGAAACTAAAGCATACTGGGTTAGAGATCATTGGATTGGTTCTTGTGTTAAGATTACTGTATTATAATGAGTGGAACTTGCAGTATGTATGGGTGACAGGAAGGGTTGCTTTGAAGAATGATTAGATCTCCTGGAGGGTCTTCTGTTATAATACTTAGAAGAATGTGTGAATTAGTGTAGGTCTACAGGAAATCCTATAAAACCCCATATACAGGGTTTTATGGTTAACAGATGGGTTGATGTGACATGACTTGTGACAAACTCATGTCTTTCTGTGTTTTTGATGTCTTCCTGTGGGGGAATCCTTTCTTCTGTTTCAGTATAAGTGTCGGGTTTTCAGAGATACTGGTCAGAAGAAACTGACAGTGCTCTTGTATGTTTTGTCTTCATACCGGCTTATATTACATAGGATTGGTTCATGACGCTGAGTCTCTTTCTTAAATTCATATGGGACTTAGCAACTCTCAAACATGAGAGAAGAACTTCTACAACAGTGGGCATAAAAAGGACCAGGAAAGATGGAGAGGGTTACAACAAGTCCTTAAAGTAAGGCCTTTGCTTCCCCACTAGGGGGCTTTGTTATCTGATCGTAAACATGCTGTTTATGTGTTTTGTGCTCATGCTGTAGCACGGCCACTTAATAAAATGTTTGCTGTAAAGTGTCAAAGCTTCCATCATAAGACACTGATGGTAACTTGTTACATATGTATATAACATACATACAGTATGTTACATGTTTACCATGGTTGTCTGAGAGAAGATAACGCCTAACTTATTTTATAAGTATAAAGTTATTATGGCCAATGTGTTAGAAAATAAATGCTTCCACTAGATGTGCAGTAAGATTAACATTCACTTGTCGATATGTTTATGTCCGCCTACAAATCCAAGTCTAAATTTACTCTTGTTTTATGTCAGTCTTGGTTTCCACCAGCTCCTGACAGAACTATCTGACACTTTAGGTGCAAAATGTTTCATTATGTTCACAAACTATTTACTAATTTTGTCTGCCAGCCACTGGTCAGGTGGTGTACAGTGAGTTTATCTGAGCTTGCAGAAATGTTTTGTCATAGGCTGAAATAAAACAATAAAATTGCAGGCAGTAAAACTGAAACACTGAGGCGCATGGAGCTGGGGAAGTAGTTAAACCCAGAGAAATGAGATTACATACACTATGTCTGTTTTTGTTGTATCAAAACTGATACACTCTGCATGTTTGGGGACTCGCGACACTTTAGCTGAATTTGAGTTGTCACCAGAATGTTCATTTTTGTGCTGAAAGAAAACCCACACCACTATTTCCTAAAATATATGATGCTCTTTTACCCTTCATATTAGTTGCTGCGCTCTGCTGCCCAGAGTCTATACATGTGGGTGTCAGACGCTGCTCAGGATTAGCTGGTGAGTCAAGAGGCGTCTTGCTGCGTTGCACCTAACACCCGTTCACCAAACAAGATGCTGGCTGCCACATTAATGCAGGAGAACTAATCCATCCATCCACCCATCTATCTACTGTCAATCAAACCATCTCTTCACCTTTAGAATATTCCCCAGACAGTTTTGCTGAGGATTCATACGTGAGTTTTACAGTTTTGCTGTGTCTGAGGGAGCTTCCTTTCCATCTGACAGACAGGTGATTCTCCTTTGAAGTGCATCAATCTCACTCACTGATGCAAAGGCCAGAGAATGAGCCTCCCCTGCAAGACCCCATTAAAGCAAAAGCCAGGGTCCCCAGTTTTGATGTTCATTACTCTGGCAACCCCTACCATCAACACATTTTGTGCCACGTGAGAATGATCACAGCTTATTGGAGTGGAAATAATGACTGTTCTACTTCCGGCATGAAATATTTAACAAGGACAAAGGAGACGGCACAAAGGTGATTCATATGCATGTTGAAAGCAGAGAATGTGGGCAATACTGTCCTCACTGGAAGTGCAGATGAACCCTGGTTAAACTGAGCTTAGAAGGGACTGTTGGCAAATGAAATATGTATCTTAATGGAAGCAGAAAGGAAGAAAATGGCAGAGGGTGAACTGAATTAATGTTTATTAGTCACAACAAAGATGTTGGTATAACAGCAAGCGACATGCTTATATTTCCCTCACTTCACCTCATGGCATTTATAGTACACACACAGCAGACTTGTGCATTTAGATCTGAATTATATGTGCTAATCTTCAGCCATCATTTCATTTTAGTATTTCTCTCTGATTGCCGGCTGTGCTCTGAAGGTACTGTATAGAGCATCCAATTTGTGGATGTGAAATTATTGATGTAGGTTTGCTTCTAGCTGGGGTAAATTAGCTTTGTTGGCCCTTTGGAAGAATCAGGGGAAAGGAGCAGAGTGAAAATGTTCTCCATCAAGTGTGATTGAATTGGATTTTAGAAGATGAATTGCCAAGAGTTTATCCCAATTACATTGCCAAGAGGTTTCAGTCCTGCTGCAGCCACTCTGGTCAGCTGCAATAGGGTCAGCTTTGAGTTATCAGGGCCTGTCATTGTGAGAAGATGTTTACAATGTGAGCAAAAGGAAGATAAATGCAACAGGCCTCCATTTGCAACAGTCAAAAGTAGTTTGTGGTTTGGTCCATGGAATTAGACAGTGGTCAGCTGTCTTTTCCATAACCCTCTTAATCCGGCTGAATACAAAGTGCAGAAAAACTGCCTTGGGCTCTTTTTGTTGGTGTCCATTTTCCTTATTCATTTTTGATGTAACCTGAATGATTTTTTGATGTGTAAACTGTGTCTTTCATCTATGCTATCAAGACTGCACTGACTGTACCAGTACGTCCAAACTCTGAGGTGATATTTAGTCTTACCTTCCCCACACTGGGGCTCCACAGAAACCTCAGGCTGAAAACACAGAGAGCCAAGACGAGGAAGACCAGAGCCACGACCAGAACCGCTCGCTCGTAGGTGTGGCGCTTGGCCTTCTTCTCTTTCCCCACCTCTACCTGTAAACAACATAGGTTCAATATTATATGCAATATATATGTATGTGTGTGTGTGTGTGTGTGTGTGTGTGTGTGTACAGTATGACCCAAATGCCATAACAATATGCTCTACTGTTTAACTGATACACACTTAAAAGAATAGTTGAACATTTTGGGAAATATGTCTATTTTCCTTTTCTCTGAAAACTCAGGACTCTGACACATAATGTAGCAATCATATATTATAATTACCACTTTTAATTATTTCAACTTTGTTTAGCCCATCATTTTGGCTTTGAGGGCGGCTCAAAATACTACAATACCCATGAGCCTCGGCTGCCTGCTAGATGAGAAGAAGCCAGTCAGAGGTGCGAATCAGAGCTGTAGAGAATTTAAAATGCTTCATTGTTGAATTTGAGAAGAAAATCTGCTGCTGTAATTGCCAAATCCACCCATAACTGTTCCAGAAATCAAATGGGAATTGATTTAAAATTGTGTTTTAGTTTTCCTCAGAGCAATCTTTAGCTCTCACGGTAAAAATAACAGAATCTGAGGCTCTGTGATTAGATGTTTGTTGGCAAAATTACTTTCCTCTGAAGTTTTTATCTACACAGGCTTATACTTTTATATCACCGAAAGACATATTTTCTAACACTGCATATTTTTGAAATGGTGGCGGAATGATATAGTACATTAGGAAAATATGTGAGAAAATACTTAACTGCACGTTTTAGAAAATTTCAAAAGGTTGAAAGATCCATAATTGTTCCGAACACACTATTACTGGTGCGAGATAAACAGAAAGTCAATATAAGGGACAGAGAAAAACATCATTATGTGCTAGCAAGAATAAAAACAAAAATGGGTGATGCAAAGTAGCTGTTATTAAAGTTGTTTGCACTGTGAATGTGTCTTACTAAGGTGATGTGTAAGTGAAGTGCATTTGTTACTGTGTATTTTTGATTAGTTACAATTGTGTGTGTGTGTTATGATTATGCGTATTCATAATGTGTATGTGTAGGTGTGTAATAAGCCTATGTTTGGAAATGTTCTACTGTGATTTTGAGCTGGACTCTTAGAAGAGTAGCCTTGAGCTAAGAAATCCACATATACAAATAAAACAAATACAAGAGTATTGATCTTCTCATCTACCTCTAAGCGAGAAAGTATAGAAGCACATTTCTCAGGATGTTCAACTGTTGCTTTTGTTGGAATTTATAATTCCTTCTTTTTATTTTCCCTTGAAATCGAAAGAGATGCCATTTGAATTGGCCTCTGCGAAATTTATCCACCAATGACACTACTGGTGACACAAATACAGCATCCGCATGCCAAGCACAGTGAGGAACAGATTGCTACAAGCAGAAAGCAGAAAGGTTACATTTATTAAACTTTTGCTCAAATTAAAACTCTGCCCACTGTAGTCAATTCCCTGAGCTTAAGGTCACAAATTAATAAGACAGGCTTTTGTTCCACCAGGACTCCGGCAGGGAGAGAATGAAAGCTTCTCAGTCACTCTGGACCATTTCTAAAGGGCTCAGAGGACAACAGAAAAGCAGATATGTAAAAAACTCAACCAACTTCAATTAACAAAATTGGTGTTGCTTATCTTCATGTCTTTTAAAGTAATGATAAAGCAGCTTTGGTTTTCTATTGTGGCTGAGGCTGTTATAGTAGTTAAGCTGCAGTAGACAGCACTTTAGCATTCTTTATGTAGTGTGTAGTTAGAACCATTATCCAAAATAGTCTTAAATGATATATTTCATATCTTTTATTATTTTAACAGTGCAGTATGTAGATGAATTCTTGAATACGAGTTGAATTTCTGGCTGGTAAATACATTAGCAGTATGGCTTTTGGAAATACAGAGGGCACATTTTTCAAGATAGCCCCCTAAAAATCTTTAACTATGCCGTTGCTATTAATGAATTCCACAGTCACCGTTCTTCATTTGATATATGGGAGACAGTAGCCCCAAAACGGTGAGGCAGGTCAAAGTACTGTACATTCCTGAGGCATGATGAAAAACAGAGGGCTACAATTGCAGACCCAGAAATTCCTTACTTGTGAATATTTCTGAGTGAAGAAAAAAGAATGGCTCTCCTGTGGCAGGTTGCATAAGTTGTGGAAACTAGAGGACAGACCTCTCTCTGCATGTGCTTTGAATATCAACTCAGAGGAAAAAGGTGGGATGAAGAGTCTGGCAGACAGACAGGAATAAAAGCAGGGATGGAGATAGAGCAAGCAGTCTCGGTGCTTAGCACCCACCAACTAGTGTTTAAAGGTTTAGGAGTTCCGAATCAGCCAGGTGTTTCCTCCTGAGTTTTGTGAGGAAGAGCGCCTGGAGCCCCCTGCTGTTATCATGCAAGGAAGGAGCACTTCCTTAAGAAAACAACAGAAAACCCCCACAGAATTAGCCTAAACAACCAATAAGAAGAGGCAACGGTTTATCACACCATGGCACACGCATATAAGAATTTCAGTTCCTGTGAAAATATTTTCTGAAATAATAAGCCACGGGTGATTTCTTAATCCTAATCATTTTCCATCCATCACTTATCATGTATAGCTGATGAGTACCTGCTGGAACAGGTGCCTGAGCAGCAGAAGATCTTGCATTTTCTTATTTTTTGGTGTATGGTTAGCTTGCATGTGAGAAGCAGGGATTTTGTAGATCTAAAGCAAATGCAGTGATTCAGGTGAGACTGAATATGGGATTGGAAATAAAAGAAGGAAGCTAAGGTGAAAAGCCAAAAGAAATTAAATGGAAAAATTACTATTCTGAGAAAACTCAGATCACTCAGCAAGAGATCAAGCACAACTTCTTTTTTGATATCAAGAAAGGCAAAGGACCTCTGACATATTTTACTAGACGTACACTCTCATATCACAGGATTTTTTTTTCTCACTTGTACACCCTGTTGCTGCCACCTACACTTAATTTATTGAGCTGTAAAATTTTGAAGGTTTCCTTGACACTGCAGTGACCTACGGTAAAATTCTTCACAGTATTTTAAAAGAAAATAAATGCTGGAATTTATTTTAAATCTCTTGTGCTGTTTAATTTAAGTGCTGTAAATTAAACACAATAATAACAAAAATGGACTCACATCTTTCCAGAGAATCTGTTGACTACTGGACTGACTGTTAGCCTCCATGATGCAGACACACAGGAGGAATCTTTCTTATCCTCTCAGCTGGGAGAAATACCACCACTCTGAAGAGTCACAGCTTCATTCCTTTGCTGTAATTTGGGAGTGTGCTGAAGGGGAGGGAAGTTTCAGATGGAGTGGAATCATGGAAACATTTGTTATTTCAATTTAAACCAAGGCAGATGTCTCTCCTGCCTTCTAGTTCGCCCCATTTCAAAGGTGGAAAACCAGCAGACTAAAAGACAGACTCTCTGTCACATAAATTATATGCTATACTTGGATGAAAATGCCATAGTTCACAACATTTTAAAAGAGGTGGAAAAAAAGTATCTACAGTGTATTGTGCAGATGTGGATCTTTTCAGTCCTATCAAGTATCAAAAAAGAGTATTAGTACTTTCTTTCAGCTTTTATTTCCCTGCCAGTCAACCCACATGATTGACAACAAACAGCAAAGATTGAATAGTAGCATATTGAAAGAATTAACTTTATGAAATGAAAATAATCTGTGTGACCATAATAAAGGAGAAATAAAGCAAAGATTGTAACCAAAGGACAAAAGATCACCTCTAGTCACGTTTTTAAAACATAAAAATTCTATTTGAAATAATCATATAAAAAATTAAATGGCTTTTCAAACATAAACTTCTAGATTCTATTCAAATATTTTAGAAGTTTGACTATTTCACATAAAAAGTCATTCTCAGCGTATGTGCACAGATTTTAAAACCCACACGTAGTTACCTTGTCTGTTATCAGTTGAATCCTCTAATAACCTTCACAAACATTGTTTGAAAGCACAAAGTACTGTGACACTATCTATGCTAACATTTTAACATCACAAAATCTGTGAAAACTTATTTTGTATCAAGAGTGCATGTAAAATACAGTTGTAAAAAATTATGGGCTTTCAGTAAATCATTCAAACGTAAAACAAACAGACAGGAAATTATGTTTGTATCTCTGTGAATATAGTTAATACTCTTGAATACTGTGCAGTATTTTTGACCACATCAAACGAGCATACGTTGCATATTAGGTTTCCAGTTTAGGTGTGATGCGCACAAATTTATCTCATATGTACATATTGTGTATTAAACTGAGATTTGAGCACAGAGAAATGTTCCCTCTTCAACAGATGAATGTAAAAACAGCCTCTAACTGTCAAACTATTTGAGGACATAGACCATTCTGCACAGTGAAGCTCAAACATCCAAGACAAGTAACAATAACACATCTTGGAGCAGAGAGGGAATTGTCTGGTGTTGTCTGAGGAGCCCATGACATTCTTCTATGAAACTAATTCTGTTGTCTGTAATAAAAGCGTTTTTCCAGGGGAAAATAAAAACAAAACTTCAAGTTGATTATTAAAAACTCTGATGTTCAAACTCAGCGATACATGTTATCTTCTCTGGAAACTGAGACTTTATAGTGGGAACCCTCTCAGTTGTTTTTGTGAATGTAATTAGTATTGATTCGGTTTTAGGCGCCCGAAAGAGAGGGGTTAAATAAAACACGCAGTAAGTGAAACACCTGAAATATTGACACTCTCAGAACTTTATACAGCTCTTGGCAGAGTTTAATAATGCCATCCAGTGGTGCCTATTTATTTCTCCCATCCATACAGTGCCCAGTGCCATTAATACTTTTTGAAAATGTCACTGCGGCTAAGGGAAGGCTTGATCACACCTACAGTCCCTTGTACCTTCTTTTTTTTTTTTTTTTTTATTTTGCTTTCAGTGCTGTGGTGGACAAGTTGACCTTTTTACATTTTTGTTTGGTTTATTCAGATTCATATTATTCAGTTTTAGGTAAACTATAAGTTGTTTGCAACAGTGACAGGCAGCCGCAAATAGATGATTTGTTCTTTTAGTTAATGGTAGCTTGGCCTGAATAAACATAATTTTGTGCAGCAATAAATCATTAAAGCATTAATCTTTTTATTCTTTTAGTAACCTCTCAGTTTGTGCTGTATTTCAGAGTTTGTTTCCAGCATCTGAAAAATGCTGCATCATAATTCATTTGTACTGGAAGAAAGCGAAGTCAGATAGCAAAAGACTGGGTAAGAGAGATTGTGTTGATGGTGACCGATGAAGGCTGTGAGCAGGAATCAGAACCAAGATGTAGTTCCTGCCATTTCAAACACTAATACCACGTTAAATGTTCGTTATGAGTTGTTATGACACCCATAATTATTTTCTAAAGGGGCAAACTGCACCTTTCAGTAGGCCAGGTGGGGCACTTCTTCTACTGTGTTTTAATTAGGCAACAGCTAGAGGCCATCATGGTGGATGGGTGGGATGGCAAAATGTAGGACTTTCACAGCCGTTGTCAGTATTGTTACTTTAGTAAGCAGTTTTGTTTAGCTTTTGTGCCTAAACCCAGTTTTCAGTGAAGAATTTGTTGTTGTAGCCATAATGACAGAGGTCTGGTGCATGATAACAGCCTACTGAACAGACAAGGAGGTGGAGGAGAAATTAATTTACACATTTATTATTGTATTGTTATATATGGTGTTGTGTTGTTATTCCTATTGATGATGATGCTTTGCACCAGATGGAGTTTGCAATTTCATTGTAAGTGAATCATATAATGACAATAAAGGTCTTCATTGTCTGATGACAGAAGGAAAACACTTGGTAGGGTGATAACATTCAAAGCAAGTGGGACTACTGTCATGGAACATCATGATACCCATTCATTTGTCCTTCTCAGGTGTTTGTACCACTAATACTTGGGAAATAAAATAATAATGAGTAGTTATTAGGTCATTACAGGTTAACTCATAAGCCACAGGCTTGAGATCTCGGTCAGATCTCAAGTAACTTATCTACAATATACTGTGTAATCTTAAGAACAAAGTTATTCTGGAGCTATTCTCAGGTTACCTAATATTTTGTCTACCTTATTGTACAGTGTTACATATAAAATCAACTCAGCATCAACAATATCACCCTATCACCATCATTATCAATCACAGTGCTTTGCTGACATACTGCACTTCATAGCTGTCAGTGTCTATACAATGTGCCACCTGTTCACCTGTTTGAAGACACACAATATGCACAATTAAATTTCTTTTGACACAGGCCTATCTTTTGACAGGTGCAGGATAAAGTTTCAAAGCACACTTATTTCTCTGCCTGCTTATACAAACCACCTGTCAGTCATTTTTTCATATCATCAGAGATGGCACACAAAGCAAAAGCTAAATGGTGTGATAAAATGTTTTGAAGTGGAACCTAAAAGTTCCACTTCACGCTTGAGGCACAGAAGTGAAAAACGATGGCTCAGTCAATACCGACTGAGATGGAACATGGTCAACCTGCAAGCCTTTAGTGTGGCAAGCAACATTTGAGTACATATTAACTCTGTCAGATCTGATAGCTGTGGGACCTCGTCAGCACTTTCCCATTGATATAAATCTTCACAATTACTGTGACAGTTTGCTTGGGAAAATCAAGCAGCGGGTCTTTCAGGAATACTGTTGTGTCAGCAGCAGAGTTGAGCTTCCTGGAACCCTCATTCCGCCGATAGCATTCAGCACCTGGCAGGGGCTTTGACACCCACAGAATAGAATAAACAGCAATTTAGTTTGGAGTGCATACCAGATACTCGCAGATTAGAGCTGAGGTTGATGGGAGTAGCCTTAGCAAACTAGGAAGAATCACAAAATAAACACTTGCTCTATCCACTTCATGCTTCAGGCCCGGTAGCTTTCATAGGAATGTTTCTTTTTTGCATTTGTCAGTTTTGCAAACACAGATTGAGTGCTCTGACCAACAGTGAGACCCGTTACAAATCCAACAAACCAAGTTGGATCCTAAGAGGTTTTTTTTAATATACAGTGCTGTGCAAAAGTCTTAGGCCGCAGCTAGATTTGTTTTAGCAATGTTATGATGACTATATACATTTATTTATCAGATTACAACTGGAAAATATAGGAAATATGCTAGGCACACAATATAAAAAAAACATGAAAAAAAGGTCATAAAAATCAGCAAACTGGAAACTATATGTGGTATTCAAGCTGGTCTAAAGAAATATGAAAAATCTGGAGAGTACAAGAACAAAAACAGGAGTGGAAGACCAAGAAAACTGTTAAAATCTGATGAGAAGTTTCTCAGGGTTTCTTCCCTGAGAGACCGGAGGAAATCCAGCAGGGACCTGGCTCAGCATCTGATAGTTTCATCTGAATGCCAAGTTGATCCTTCCACGGTCCGAAGAAACTCAAGCAGGACCAACGTTTGCAGAAGTACAGCAGCCAAGAAACCACAGTTTCAGAAGAGACACAGGGAGAAAAGGTTAAAATACACAAAAGCTCACAAAGATTGGAATGAAGATTGTGACGTTTATCTATGGCAGCAAATCACTCCGACAGTCAGGTCGTTAACGGTGGAACACTCTTTATTGGATACAACAACAGAAGACAGGAAGTGCCTTGCTTCTTTCTGTCTAGAAACCCCGGGGGTCTGCCTAATGCACATGCGCAGTAGAATAACTAAAATGTATTCACTTCACGTGAGAAAGATCAGCCAAGTGTCTTTCTTCATGGTCTTCTTCTTGGTGTTTTATGTCCATTGTCAAACAAGAAAATGGCGCATTACTGCCACCAGCTGTGGAGACGGAAACTAATGTGGTGTCTGTTGTCTATTGAAGGCTTATGGTTTGGAACCTTATAATGTTAAAAACATTAGAAGATAGTAGTCGGGGTGGATGGACGGGTCAACCAAACACCTGACTTTGATGCAGAAAATCGTAGTTCATGTCTGATGTTGCGTTTTAAGTGTTTTGTGTGTTTTAAAGTGTTTTAACTGACCCCAGGGCCTTTTTTTTCTTACCATAACCATCTATTTTGTGTGCCTAAACTTAGGTTTCTGTGCCTAAACATAACCATACTTTGGGTTTCAGTGTACTTTTGGTTTCAATTTTCAGTTCAGAAAAACTTTGCAATGTCACACAATATACAAGGTGAAGGCCAAAATAACTGTAATACATTTTGCTGTGAGACTGGGCTGCATGTAAATATTTCCTGTATTTTCTGGTAATAT